GGGTGACATTGAACAGGTGCAGAACGCACAGTCCTGTAACCTGAAATAATGCTCAACTAAACTTTCTTGCTGGATTTATATACTGCACTCAATGTGGCCTGAATTTTAACAAAAGGAAGACCCCTGCTGAGTCCCAGGGTGCCTGGGGCAGCCAGTCCTTGGAAGGTTCCACTGGGAGAACAGAGAGGGGCCTCTCAGGTGACGCTCAACTTTGCAAACATCCGGTGATGAAACTGCGGCCAGCTTAACTGTCATCCAAATGCATGCTGAGACTTTGCTTTTTAACAAACAAAATGCTTTTATTGCTTTTTTTATAGAAATGCACGTTTAGGCACTTGCATAAGCTATATAAAAAGGCATGTATATTCCTTGTTTGAAGCCTTCCTTGCTGGTCACAGAAAGCGGGCAGAAAAGAGCAACTGAAACAAAGCACCGCAGAGGCCGCCTGTGCCAGGTTAGGCAGAGGAGAGGGACCCTCCTGGCACCAGTCAGGGGGGACCACGGTCAGTAGTCGTCGTAATTGACGTTGGCTCCATGCCGAAAGCTGTCTGGGCTCCGGGGACCAATGGCGGCATCTTCATCGTAGTGACGGTGGTGGTAATCATAGTAGTCATGTCTGTTCCGGTTTCTGCTTAGCCAATAGGTGACATCATCTTCAAATTTCTGGCGAAGAAGAAAGAACATGATGGAGAGTGGGTTTAAGGACGCACCCCTCTGACCAAGTCTCACCCCGGGCTTTCTCTGCGGTTGTTTCTCTTCAATGGTTACCACCTCGTTGAGAATGAGTCCTTGTTGGAGCATTGCTGTGCCTCTAGTCTTGTTATTAGAATCTTAAAGGATCCTCCTTTATTGTGATTTTGTCATCAGACATTATTTTAGCCATTCCCCCATGTTGAACTCTTAATACCCATTTTTATGAACTGCAAATACTGGTCATCAAAGAAATGCCAAGTGCTGGAAGATGATATAGCATTTTCATCTATCAAATAAGTAAAAAATTTGAAGTTTTCAGTGAGACTAACAGATGCTGCTGCAGATGTGAGGAAATTGGTACCCTCGTACATGACTTACAGGAATATGCCGTTTGGCAGTCCTTAATGACCCTTGAATGTAATTCTGTCTTTGCCCAGTAACTGCCCTGCACAGAATGCAATCCTAAGTGAGAAACAAATTACACACTAAGCTGCCAGTAATAGCACCGGCTTTTTAGGTTGTTGTGAATGTGAAGTAGTTAATTCACACAAGAACTAGACTAATTCCTGGCACAGAGTTTAGCTATAAGTGTTTAGCTATTTGCACAACAAAAAATTATATTTGAATATCAAAAAGATAATTGGGGAACAACTGATATGTCCAATGGTTGGGAATGAGAAAGAAATTATGGTATGGCTACAGGCTTGCATTTTATGCAGCCATTAAAAATGGTCTCTTTAGGTCCCCGGCTGATTTTATAGTTGGATTGTTTGTTTTATTGTTCTTGGAGTGTATGAGTTCTCTATACATTTTGGGTATTAGCCACATATCAGAGTTATTGTTTGCAAATATATTCTACCATCGAGCTGGTTGACTTTTATTTTGTTGATGGTTTCTTTTGCTGTGCAGAAGCATTTTAGTTTGATGTAGTCCCATTTGTTTATTTTAGTTTTGTTTCCTAATAAATTTAATTTAAAAACTGATGTCTCTAAAGAGTTTAATTTGTTTTCACCTATTGCAGTATTTTGTATACACCCTTGATTCACAATATGAATCCTGGATCTGTTTGGAAAAACACTTCCATCTGCGCTGTTGGAGATGCTGCCCTCCCTCTGCCCTCTGGCCGGGGTGGAGGGCTGAGTGCTCCCTGGCTTGGTGGTGGACTGGGTGCTGAGTGCTCCCTGGCCTGGGTGGTGGGCTGAGTGCTCCCTGGCCTGGGTGGCGGGCTGAGTGCTGAGTGCTCCCTGGCCTGGGTGGTGGGCTGAGTGCTGAGTGCTCCCTGGCCTGGGTGGTGGGCTGAGTGCTGAGTGCTCCCTGGCCTGGGTGGTGGGCTGAGTGCTGAGTGCTCCCTGGCCTGGGTGGTGGGCTGAGTGCTGAGTGCTCCCTGGCCTGGGTGGTGGGCTGAGTGCTGAGTGCTCCCTGGCCTGGGTGGTGGGCTGAGTGCTGAGTGCTCCCTGGCCTGGGTGGTGGGCTGAGTGCTGAGTGCTCCCTGGCCGGGGTGTCAAGCTGAGAGCTCTCTGCACTAGCCCCGCACAGCCCTGGCCGCCACTGCAGAGCTCTGCGCGGCACTACCCCATCTCCACCCGCGGTCTTACCTGGCCCTAGCCCCAACTGGGAGCGCTTGATTATGAATGTGTTTTTCTGTAACGTGGGGAATGTGTCCACTCTCCCTACCTGGGCACGTGAACTGAACCATCTTTTCCTGCTAATACACTGACAAATTCTCCCGAAAACATTTGCAGACCCCTCTTTCTTTAAAGGAAAGTTGCACCCCCTTCCATTGTCCTCATGGGTCTCCCCATTGATCTGGGCATCTCTGACATTTTTTGAGGTAAAGCTGAACATGTTTTGGGGAGGTTGTGAGCTATTTTAAGGACACCCAGGCAAAGCCGTTAAAACTGCCCCAGGAAAATCCTACTCTTGCTGAATCTAAGTTCCAGCCAGGTTGGGCGGTGTCTTCTCTGGAATTTGGCTTCCCACTTGGACCCACTGTGATGGAAAATTCCAGCTGCTGTCCTCATAGCCATGGTCACGTAACCGTAACCGATGCCTGGATGGTCTTGGCGGGCGGGTGGGGAG